GGCTTTTATTGATCTTGAAGGAAATCCTCTGGCAGCGAGGGCCCCCAGATAAAAGTGTTATTCCCTTGCGGATGTGCAAACACCCATTCACCACACTGCTCATCACTAATTACTGCTCATCAGTGCTCATCACTAATTACTTGAGAAGCTAAGCAGGGAAAGTCCAGTGCCTGGATTAGGATTCCTTCTCTTTCTTAGCTTGAGGTCATAGCTCCAACTGTGTGATTAATTTAACACGTGACTAATATTAACATAGGGCTTCCCTTGTGGCTCAGCTGGTAAAGAATATGCCTGCAATGTGGAAGACCTGGGTTCACTCCCTGGGTTGGGAAGATCCTCTGAGAAGGGAAAGGCTACCCACTCCAGTATTTTGGCCTGGAGAATTCCGTGGACTGTATAGTCTATGGAGTCCCAAAGAGTTGAACACGACTGAGTGACTTTCACTTCAATATTAACATGACTCACTGTATTCACTTAGAATATATATATAATATTACATAGTGTTTAAAGGATATCTTCATCTAAAATTTTAAATATCTTCTTTATCCATTTGTTTGCTGATGGACATTTAGCTTGCTTCCATGTCCTGGCTATTATAAATATTTGCTACTATGAACATTGGGGTACATGTATCCTTTTTTAAAAAAACTTTTAATTTTATATTGGATTATAGATGATTGGCTTCCCAGGTGGTGCTAGTGGTAAAGAACTTGCCTACCAATGAAGGAGACGTCAGAGAGGCAGGCTCGATCCCTGGGTCAGGAAGATCCCCTGGAGAAGGGCATGGCCAACCACTCCAGTTTTCTTGCCAGGAGAATCCCAGGGAGAGAGGGGCCTGGTGGGCTGTAGTCCATGGGTTCGCACAGAGTCGGACATGACTGAAGCGATTTAGCATGCCTGGATGATTGGGCTTCCCTGGTGGCTCAGATGGTAAAGAGTCTGCCCAGACCTGTGTTTGATCCCTGGGTTGGAAAGATCCCCTGGAGAAGGGAATGACAATCAACTCCAGTATTCTTTTCTGGGAAATCCCATGGACAGATAAGCCTGATATGCTCTGGTCCATAGGGTTACAAAGAATCGGACATGACTGAAGTGACTTAGCATGCACGCATAGATGATTAACAATGTTGTGATAGTTTCAGGAGGACAGCAGAGGCACTCAGCCATACATAGACATGTATTCAATCTCCTCCAAATCTCTCTCTGACCCCTCATCCAAGCTGCCACATAACATTGAACAGAGCTCCCTCTGCTATACAGTAGGTTTTTATTGGTTACCCACTTTAAATATAGAAGAGTGTACGTGTTGATCCTAAACTTCCTATCTCTTCTCCCTGACAACCATAATTTCCTTCTCTGTCAGTCTGCTTTTGTTACATAAATACATTCATTTGTATAATTTATTTTTAGATTTCACCTATAAGGGATGTTATACAATATTTCTTCTTCTCTGTCTGACTTACTTCATTCAGCCTGACAATCTCTAGGTCCACCCATGTAGTGGCAAATGGCATTATTTCATTCTTTTTTAATAGTCATGTAATATTCAATTGTATGTATGTACCACCTCTTCTTTGTCCATTCCTTTGTCAGTGATTATTTAGGTTGCTTTAATATCTTGGCTGTTGTAAACAGTTCTGCAATGTACATTGGGGTGCATATATTCTGGTATGTATAATTTTGGACCATGTTTTTCTCTGGGTATATGTCCAGGAGTAGGATTGCAGGGTCATATGGTAGTTCTATTTTTAGTTTTTAAGAAACCTCTGTACTGTTCTCCATAGTTGTTATATCAGTTTACATTCCCACAAATAGTGCAAGAGGGTTCCCTTCTCTCCACAGCCTTTCCAGCATTTATTGTTTTTAGATTTTTTTTGCTGATGTCCATTGTGACTGATGTGAGGTGATACCTAATGATCTGCATTTCTCCAATAATTAGTGATATAGATAATTTTTTCATGTTGGCCATCTGCATGTTTTCTTTGAAGAAATGTCTATTTAGGTCTTCCACTCATTTTTTAATTTGGATTGTTTGTTTTTTGATATTGAGCTGCATGAGTTTGTATATTTCAGAACTCAATCCCTTGTCAGTTGCTTAGTTTGCAGTTATTTTCACCCATTCTGAGGGTTGTCTTTTCATCTCATTTATGGTACCTAGATATAATGGAATATTACTTGGCCATAAAAAGGAATGAAATTAGGTAATTTGTAGAGATATGGATGGGCCTAGAGTCAGTCATACAGACTGAAGTAAGTCAAAGACATTAAAAAAATGCATATATTAACGCATATATGTGAAATCTAGAAAAATGGTACAGATGAACCTATTTGTAGGAACAGAGATGCCAATGTAGAGAACATATGTGTGAACACATGGCGGGGAGGTGTAGGAGATGAATCGGGAGACTAGGGTTGACATATATACACTACTGTGTGTGAAATAGATAGCTAATGGGAACTTGCTATATAGTACAGGGAGTTCAGCTCAGTGCTCTCTGGTGACCTAGAGGGGTGGGATTAGTGAGAGGGGAGGTCCAAGACGGAGGGGATATATGTATACATATTGCTGATTCACTTCCTTGTACAGAAACTAACACAACATTGTAAAGCAACTATACTTCAGTAAAAATACAAATAAATAAAAATTTAAATATCACCACAGGAAGCACCTGTATAAGCTTTCTACAAAGAATGTGTTATATAAAAATCCATTCATTGATATTTGGTATTTATTTTGTTAATCACTTGCTAGGAAATCTAAATACATTAGCTGTTTACCTTCTTAATTGGTGGACTATGGGGGCTTAAAGGTAGAAGGAAAGGATTCTCTTATATGTTCATATAGGGTAATGGGCTAAGGCAAATGCTTGTTGATGGAATTCAGGAATTGGAGCAGGTTTCAGAGTTTAACACTGATGTGTCAGCTGAATGGAAAAAAAGCACTTGAACGAATGTTTATTACAGAAGTTATCCCCATTCTATTTAACACTGTGAGTTGAAGACATGTTCAGAGGGCTATTTTCATTTTTATATGCATAGTGGTGCTCATTTATCATTGATAAAACAAATTTAAATGACTATATTTATTTATTATATTTATTTATTAAATGCTTTGTGTTTCCTTAAAACACTTAGGTTAGTTGCTTGTTTAGATTTTCTCTAAATTATTTAGAGAAATATAATGTCATGTCAAAATATAATGAAAGTGAAAATCGCTCGGTCGTGTCTTAATCTTTGCAACCCCATGGACTATACAGTCCATGGAATTCTCCAGGCCAAAATACTGGAGTGGGCAGCCTTTCCCTTCTCCAGGGGATCTCCCCCACCCAGGGATTGAACTCAGGTCTCCTGCATTGCAGGCAGATTCTGTACCAGCTGAGCCACAAAATATAATAGTTTCTTGCTATTCAATCATTTAAAAAGGTTGTCTGCTTGCAACGTAATATGGGCCTTTCATACTCTTTAAAGTTACTTGGGCTTAGAATTTAGCTGTTATTTTTTATTTATTTTTATTAATTTTCATTGGAGTATAGTTACTTTACAGTGTTGTGTATGTTCTGCTGTACCACAAAGTACATCAGTTATACATACACATGTATCTCCCACCACTTTTTTTTTTTTTAATTTCCTTCCCATTTAGGTCGCCACTGAGTAGAATTCTCTGTACTATAAAAGTAGGTTCTCAAGTAGCTACTTTCAGTTCAGTTCAGTTCAGTTGCTCAGTCGTGTCCGACTCTGTGCGACCCCATGAATCACAGCACGCCAGGCCTCCCTGTCCATCACCAACTCCTGGAGTTTACTCAAACTCATGCCCATTGAGTCGGTCTAAGGCCCACTTGACTTCACATTCCAGGATGTCTGGCTCTAGGTGAGTGATCACACCATTGTGATTATCTGGGTCACTAGCTACTTTACATGAAAGTAAATTTTCATGTAAATTTACTGTTTACAAGGAAATGGTAAGTCATTATTGGAGAAGGAAATGGCAACCTACTCCAGTATACTTGCCTGGAGAATCCCGAGGACAGAGGGGCCTGGTGGGCTGCCGTCAATGGGGTCGCACAGAGTCATACAGGATTGAAGCAACTTAGCAGCAGTAGCAGCAGCAGGTAAGTCATTTCTCCTGTTCCTCTTCATTCTCAAGCTGATATCTAAAACTGAGTTATGCTTTTGTTACAGGATATGTAAATAGTGAAACTTGAAATGTGGCAAAGGGAAGAATAACTACTTTTCATAATTATCTCCCTTTTTGTTTTTAACAAGCGTTTAAATAACTAAAGTTCTTTTTTTTTAAAGTTTTATTTATTCATTTATTTTTGGCCATGTTGGGTCTTCATTGTTGTGTGGGCTTTCTCTGCAGAGAGCAGAGGCTAGTCTTTCATTGCAGTGTGCATGTTTCTTACTGTATAGATTCTTTTGTTTTGGATCATGGGCTCTAGGATGCATGGATTTCAGTAGTTTCAGGCCGTGGGCTTTAGTAGTTGCATCTCCTGGGCTCTAGAGTACAAGGTCAGTAGTTGCAGTGCATGGGCTAAGTTGCTCTGAGACATGTGGGATCCAACTGGGTCAGGGATTGAACCCATGTCTCCTGCATTGGCAGGAAGACTCTTCAACACTGAGCTACCAGCAAGCCCTGTCATTATCTTTCCTGTGAGTTTTTATTAGAACTTGTAATTGAATTAGGAAAGCCTAGGATGAAACTGTAGTTTACACAAGATCTTTTTTCACCCATGTGTTTCTGCTTAGTGAGAGGAAAATGGTGATTTTTATATTCTTCTTTATAAATGTAATTTGTGAAAGCATCAAGCTCTTACCCAACCCATTTCATATGTATATTTACATATATATAAATATATTCTATGTTATACATGTGTAAGTTTTTATATAAATCTTATTTATAGAATAAAATACATAATATCTTTATAAACTGCATGCCATTATTTAGCTTCATTGAGAATAAGGCAGAAAGCTTGTGCTGAGTGATGTTTCTTTATTTCAGGTTTAACTGTATCTACTATCCTTTTGGGCATCACAAGGTCTCTGTTGATATTCTACATCCTTGTTAAGTCTTCACAAACTTTGCACAACAAAATGCTGTGGTCCATTTTGAGAGCTCCAGTATTGTTCTTCTATAGAAATCCAATAGGTAAGTCAGACATCAAGCTTCTCAGTGAATATGTCTTGTTAATGCATTTAGTTCCTGATTGCATTTGGTATTTGAAAATGCAAGAGATGATTAGAAGAAAATTACTGTACATGTTGATTCATTTTCTATGAAAAGCTTCACTGATATTTTTTCTACCAGAGAAAATATGAATAGGAGCATATAATCTTTTATTCCAATTTATGTGTCTGTAAAGATAAATGACTGTTTACTTTGCAGAATGATTTATGAATCACTTGCTGTGTGATATGTGAAACAACCTACATATGATGCGAATGTGTTGAAATGTTTTTTACTAGTTGTTGAAATGTTCCTGTGTTACATAATGTAAAGTTAACTAGGAAGGACCTTCTTCCAGGAACATCTCTATAGGAGACAGGCTAATGTGTTTTTCTCTTTCATTGGTCATCCATTTCTGGGACCACGGAAGTCTGGCACGTGCTCATATTCTGAGATTTACCTAAATAGTAATGGAAAATTAATTAAAATACAAGCTCAGTGAAATGTAAGCATCCTCTTCAATAAAATCAACTCTGTAGTTTCAGAGTGGACTTTTGGTTATATTTAAGAGGTCTTGTGGTACCTAGCAGGTGGATCTTCAGTATTAAGGAAGAGTGTCCCTGAAGGGTTCCCAGTGGTTGCTTCCTCTACTTTGAGGCCTTTGACCCATCTTGCTTCAAAAGGTAGCCTCCTGACCTGGGTTCCTATGAAGAGTTAGTTCATCAGCATACATGCCCACTCTGTTTAGTTGGTTAGACTTGTGCTGAGGCCCAGGGTGGCTTTTGTTTTTTCACAGGTGATGATTGACAGGACCTGTCAAGGCAGGGATGTGACTGGAGGGAGGACAAGTGTAGCCTCAGCCTATTTATCAACTGGCCATGTGACTGAGGCCAAAGCAGGTAGATTCTACTGGGCAGGCAAATCTCCAGGTAGGGTGTTGTCATGGTCCGAAGTATGGACTCTGGGACCAACTGGCTGGATTCAGTCCTGTTGCTAGTTACTAATAGTAATAGTCAGTTATAGTTGTGTTAATACTTATGTACTAGTTATTTAATTTCTCTGTGTCTTGATTCTCTTACCTGTAAAATGAGGATACTGTTCACACACTTACCAAATCTTGGTATTGTGGGTATTAAGCAGGTTAATAATTCACAGCACTTAGCACACGGGCAGTGCTGAATGAACCTCAGTGAGGATGTCGACATGGGGTCTGGGAACTTCTCTCCTGTGAAATGGGAATAACCACTGCCCTTGCTGTTTCACAAGGCTGTTGTGAGGATTAAATAAGAATGTTGAGGGCAGCATCTTGTGTAGATTTGTTCAGAGTATATTGTTTAGTCTAGGCACTGGGTGGAGCACAGGATGGCAAACTGCAGAGGCCCACACAGATCTTGTCTTATTATGAAGCCAGAGTGAGGAAGGGATTGGAGGAGTCCATGCTATTATGGCTGTGAAGTTGCTCCACTTTGCCTGTTTATATGAAAACTATACTCATAAAGTTGGGAGCATTAAGTGGGACTGAATTTCTGTTCTTACAGCCTCTGAGTGTTCATGACCACAGTTAACCAGCCTCTTTATAGTCAAGACCTGTAGGCTTCTCCAGATGCTGACTTACTTATTATTCAAGGATTTGGGATCAAGTTTAAATCTGCAAGGCCACTAATCTTAGAGCAGCCAGCACACTAATATTTATTTTGTGTCCGCCTCCTTTATCTCTTAACACGACTTCATTCCTTCAAGAAAACAGAAGCCCAAATAAGTACTGCAAAGATAGGCCTGCTTTGCCCAAAGGGCTTAGGGGCTATAAATTATTTACTCTTTTAGTGGTATATTAAATTGAACTCTTTCCTATCTTTTATTTTCAAAAGTGGAATTTGTAATGTCCCCTGCATTGGCAAGCAGATTCTTATCCACTGTATCACCAGGGAAGTCCCTAAATACATGTGCTTTAAAAATATTGTTTTGATTTGTTCATGAATTGTTTCTCTTAAGGCTCCTGTCTGAGGAAATGAGTATTTTCTTGTATCCTGTTCTTGCAGGAAGAATTTTAAATCGTTTCTCGAAAGACATTGGGCATATGGATGACTTGCTGCCTCTGATATTTCAAGATTTCATCCAGGTAATGTACCAGTCCTGTCAGAGTTCTCACAGGGAAGAGCAGAGTGCCCGTTTCTCAAGGCCTTCTCACAGGGCCTGAGGGTGGGCTTTCAGCCTGGTGATGTGTCTGTTATCTTCAGTAAAGGTTATATTTGTGAGAGAAGGGTGCAGTTGTGATTGGGAGGCTGAGATAACATGAGGAACACCTGGGGCAGAAGTGGCTCCACAGTCATGTCAAGGTTGGTCTGAAGCAGCAACATGCTGGGTAAGTGGTTCTCCCTCTGCCTTCAGGTGTCTGGTGTGGATTGTCTTACTGTGAGCACACTTCGTAATATAGAAATAATCATAGAAAGATACCCTAGATGAACTAAATTGTGCATTGTATTGGGCTTCCCAGGTGGCTCAGTGTTAAAGAATTCACTTGCCAATGCAGGAGATAAAAGAGAAAAGAGTTCAGTCTGTGGGTCAGGAAGATCCCTTGGAGAAGGAAATGGCAATCCACTCCAGTATTCTTGCCTGGAACATTCCATGGACAGAGGAGCCTCTAGGGGTACATTCCATGGGGTTGCAAAGAGTCAGATGTGACTGAACACAAGCAAAATGCATTGTATTACCACAGAGGATAAATATTTACTGCACTATTTTATTTAGATAAAGCCAGTTGTGGTTACTTGCAAAGAAAAGATCGATAAAAATAAGGTGAAAATAATACTTAAACAAGGACAATTTTATTGTTCTTTAGTTGCTAAGTGGTGTCTGACTCTTTTGTGACCCCATGAACTGTAGCCCACCAGGTTCCTCTGTCCATGGGATTTCTAAGGCAAGAATACTTGAGTGGGTTGTCGTTGCCTTGTCCAGGGGATCTTCCCGACCCGGTTATCAAACCGGTGTCTCCTGCATTGGCAGGCAGATTCTTTACCACTTAGCCACCTAGGAGGTCCAACAAGGGCAATAGAGAGCAGTTACTAAAGATACAAAGCTTTAAGCCAGTAATTTGATTCCAGGATCAGTCATTTCAGAAAATGTCTTTTGTTTTGTAGGCAGTTTTTCTTTTCACAAGTTGATTGCTCTGTCTTAAGGTGTCTTGAGAGGGAGAGAGAGAGAAAGACCCACAGGAATACCTTTTATCCAGCCTCTCTTTTGTCTGTGAACTTGAGGTTCTAAAGAATGATGTAGGGTCATCTCAGCTCTCATCTTCCCCATTCAGTATTGTTGCTCAAGCGGGGTGTTTTTTTTTTTGTTTTTTCTGTTATTTAATTCTGTTTACTTTTCAGTGATTAAGTCTGTGGTGAATTTTCTTTTTCTTCCCAAGTGTTAATTCTGGAAATGAAATGCATTGTCAAAAGCTGCACACAGAAATGCAGCAGAGATCTAACTGTAGACAGTGTAGATTGTGGGAAAGGCTTCCACTGTTACCAACATGAACTAAGCTGACACTCAGAGGCAGAGGACTTTTACTGCAAAGATGTATGATTTTTTTTCCCTTCTGCAAACTTATTTTATAATGTGCCCTTCTAGGTTTAACTACATAACTTATCCCCAGAAACATTTTTTTCCCCTGAAAACAGTGTAACATTTTAACAGTGATTGTGAATTACTTTGAAAAGATTTTGTGAATGGTTCTGTTTCTTTGCTATGGCAAGGTAGGCCAACTTGGGTTTATGCCATGTGCTTACTAGCACTTGGTTATTTAGTGGTCATAGTCAGAATTGTCACATATTTTTGCATGACATATAGAGGGACAGGGATAGATGCTGCCTTATTTTATTAGGAAATATTCTCATTAAAGAGGAGAGAAAATTCTAGTTTCACTGATTTCCAATCCCAGCTCTGCCACTTGTAGTTCAATTAACTTGAAGTTGAAGGTGGAGGTGTCTTATAGATCATTGGAAGTAAGTGTTTGGTGTTTGAGGGAGAGACCTGGGATGAGCATGGAGCCTGTGTACCCTTCACTGAGCAGGTAGTAGCTGAATCTGTGAAGATGACAAGAATTTCCAGAGAGAGGGAAGCAATTTTAGGGGCCAATATAAGGAGGCACAATATTCAGAGAGAAAGCAAAGAGAGAAGGGGAGGAGAGGAGACACACAGTGAACAGTAAGGGAAAAAGAAGGAAGTAGGTTGGGGAATCAAGGAAGGATAGATCTGCTCAGTGCAAACAAGAAGATGAGTCTGTGAAAACTTGTTGGTTGATTTGGAATCAGCAGGTGTTGGTGACCCGAGAAGCAGGTTTCAAATGAGAAGGCCAGAGTGCAAAGAGCTGAGCATCCAGGAGGTATGAAGGGAGTTGAGGTGAAGACAGGATACTCCTGGAAGGAGTTTGAATGACGCAGGAGAGAGGACCATCTGGAATGTAGGGTTGAGGATGTATTGCTGGTTGTTGGGGTGTATAGTTTGAGTTGCGTGTGTGTGTGAGGTGGTGGGTGGTATTTCTCTCTCTCCCTCCTTCCCTTCAACAAACAGTGATTAGAGTTGAGGTCCTGAAGAACAGGGGTGAGCCAGACCCCACCCCTCATGGGTGGTTTCTTCCAGCCTCCCTTCAGGAGGGAGACATCCAGAGATTCACCCCTTGCTCCTTGGGAATCCTAATTGTGGGAGCTCTGTGGAGGAAGTCCCAGAAGGCAAACTGGATGTGGGGGCTGGAGGCAGTTAGGGAGCCTGGTCCAGGAGGTGGGCGGAGCTTCTAGGAGGTGACCTTAGATCCTGGATGCAAAGAAAAGGCTGCTGTGGATGGTGGGGCTGGAGGTGCTGCTGGAAGCAGAGTTCCTATGTGGGAACCGGTCTTTCTTCCCCATCACCAACTGAGAGGAGGGAAGGAAAGGGGCCGGAAGGGGGTTGTTCAATTTTGTTTTAAAGGATGTAGTTTGTGCCAAGTGTTTTCCATTCATTTTTGATGATTCTGCTTATCCTTGGTGAATTTGATAAACCGTGGAAAATTCTTGATCATTTTTATTTTTATTACTTCTAAAGAGTTTATTTCATATACTTTTCCTCATTTAATTCTTTCTCATTCCCTTAAATGATATCTCAGATAATTTATTTAATATTTTGTAATAGTGATGCCAAGTGTGGCTAAGGGAAACCCTGAATTCTGAATAGTGGTCCACACTGCAGGACAGTTCATCCACCCAGACAATGTCACTCAGAGACCACATCCCAGCAGAGGGCGATCATGCATTTGTGCACCATGCTATACACTGACTCTTACAGCTACCAGAGAAGTTGCCTGTTCAGTCACATTATAGTTGTTGGGAAAATTGGAGCTGTTCCCCTTTTCAAAAAGGGTGAAGGAAAAGCAGCCTAAAAAAATCAATTTATGTAGTGTGATTCCATCTGATAATCATTTATGATGTCGACAGTTTTAAAGTACAGTGGCGTGGGAAGCCCTGCAGTCTCCTTTTCCAACCTTGAAACCCAGCTCTCCTTCCTGTCTCTGCCCCACAAAGCCAGTCTCCTCTCAGTAAAATAGAGAAAATAATACCAACTCCATAAATGTTGTGGGAAGACAAAATGAAGTTGTTTTAATATTATTCTTTTCATAACATCTAAATGTATGTTGAGCACTACGTAATGGATAGTTATTTTTAAAACACCATGTGTATTTTTAAGTGAGAAAAGTTGTCTGATGACACTGGCATTATGTTGCATTAAATTTATTGTCAGACACAGTTTCCAGGCTCATAAATATCATCTCATGAGTTTGTATTACAGAGATTCTAGGTTTGTAATTCTTGAAGATTTTAAGGGACACTTTCTTATGTAGACTCATAGAACAAAAATCAGTTGTTTTCAAAACTGACCATTGGGCACTAAATTTTCAAATTAACGTAATTTTCATACAGTTTTCCAAAGTCCCAAATAACTTTGAGTAAGGAGTCTCAATTATGCACTGCTTTTGTCATTGAAATCATCACCTCCAAGAAGTCTTCCTACAAATAAGACAAGTGAAAATGAAGGTAAGATATGGAAGTTAAATTTAGGCATTTTAATTATCCTTCAATTAAAAAATAAATACATTTTAAGATACAAAAAATATCATTTATTAAATTTTTAAAAAAGGGATTTCTTTGAGCATCAGAAGTTGCACACAGCTGCCCTCAGCAAAATGCTTTAATTTATTGAGGAAAACTGAATCGCAAAACCTTTCTTCCTCACACACACCTCATTCAGGAAGAGAAATCAACAACAAAGCAACAGCTTGGCTGAGCTTAAATAACTGAATCCTCATGACCTTTCCCCCTTCATGGATCACAGCCTTGTCCTGGTGAAGGGGCTTGTGTAACTCAATGAAGCTGTGAGCCATGCCATGCAGGGCCACCCAAGACGGACAGGTCATAGTGGAGAGTTCTGACAAATCATGGTCCACTGGAGGAGAAAATGACAAACCACTCCAATATTCTTGCTGTGGGAGCCCCGTGAGCAATATGAAAAGGCAAAAAAATATATGACACTGGAAGATGAGCCCTCCAGGTTGGAAGGTATCCAATATGCTACTGGGGAAGAGTGGAGGGCAATTGCTAACAGCTCCAGAAAGAATGAAGTGGCTGGGCCAAAGTGGAAATGACGCTCAGTTGTAGATGTGTCTGTTGGTGAAACTAAAGTCCAGTGCTGTAAAGAACAATATCGCATAGGGACCTGGGATGTTAGGTCCATTAATCAATGTAAATTGAATGTGGTCAAGCAGGAGGTGGCAAGAATGAACATTGACATCTTAGGAATCAGTGAACTAAAATGGACAGGAATGTGCAAATTTAATTCAGATGACCACAGTACCTATTTCTGTAGGCAAGAATTCCTTAGAAGAAATGGAGTAGCTCTCATAGTAAACAAAAGAGTCTGAAATGCAGTACTTGGGTGCAAACTCAAGAACAACAGAATGATCTCGGTTCTCTTCCAAGGCAAACCATGCAACATCACAGTAATATAAGTGAAGTCGCTCAGTTGTGTCCAACTCTTTGCGACCCCCGTGGATGGTAGCCCACCAGGCTCTTAAATCCATGGGATTCTCCAGGCAGGAATACTGGT